CTTGTGTGCAGACATTCCACGCTTCGGTGGCTTCCAGGTTGTTCCACCTCTCTAGAAAACAAAATGTCGATAGGTGTGTGTGTGTGTGTGTGTGTGTGTGTGTGTGTGTGTGTGTGTGTGTGTGTGTGTGTGTGTATGTATGAGTGTGTGTATGTCTTTGTGTGTTTTAACTCTTTTCATGCCAATGGACGCATACTGCACTACCAGTCTCGATATATTCCGTATAAAAAGTTATTAAATACATGTGCAGTTGTGTGTGGAAATATTCGAGGTCTCTTTCAATGCTTTAAGGATAATTAGGAGACGAGATCTCTGATTTGCATTGTAAGCTTTCATGGAAGTTGAGATAGCTTCAGAATGCTTTTAGGTCTGCTGGGGTAATAATGTGGGTAGTAAAGCGCATTTAGCTTTCCGTTAAGCGGGCATTTGCGCTATACAATTAATGTTATTTATTATTGTTATTTAAGTCCAATTACGATTTTTTTTAAAAATCGCTAAACATCCCACGGGTGGACGAGGGGCGCCATTGGTAGGTCCTACATCTTTAATTTCCCTCTGTTGTTTCTGTCTGTCTGTCTTACTTTTTCTCAACATTAAATGACCACTACTGAGCCGATGTGGGTCTCTTAACTCAAACAAACAGAAAACATAAACATACCATGACATGTCATTCGTAATACCGCCAAGTTAAGGATTCCACCAAACTTATCTACAATCGTAGTCCACCCTTTTTCTCAGATACAATAATCTTTAAAACCCCGAAAGTTTAACATTATAAAAAAGAATGTATAGAAAGCAAAAGCGGAGGAGAAAATTGTTCTGAGATGTCCATGTTGTTATTTCTCGTCCCCCCTACCCTCCTCTCTGTAAGCTCCATTCTCCTCCCAAAAAGCTAGATGCCTTCATTACATAAGCACGAACATAGGCCCACTGAACCCCGCAATGTCACCCACGAACAAAACATCGGACGTCAAAGTCGTCCCAGGGCAAACATGATTGGACGCGCTGCGCTGTCAGCAAGAAAGTAACTCCTTAAATGGAGAGGTAGACAGACGTGCGCTTCACGTCACTAGCGTTGTCGTGGTAACTAGGTAAACAAGCCCAACGGCTTTGGGGCGGGGGAGCGGAGCGGGCAGTTGGTTTGTCATGTAACATTTGCTTTTGGCATCTCTTAACCCGTAAGAAAAGTAACACCGACTAGAGAGTAAAGGATAAAGAGTGGTCTTTTTTTAAGGGGGGAGGTCAGCGGGGATTGAGAAGCGGCGACGCTTTGGTACGTCACGTCTTCGCAGTTGCAGACGACGGGGAAATGGGAAATGGCGATAGAGTGATGAGATGCAAAGATCTTGGGAGACAACGACAAAAATGAAAAGGGATTTGGTGCAAGGCGAGGGGGGGGGGTGTCCTTATATATATTTTTTTTTCTTTTTTGGGGGGCGGGGGGAGTGCTAAGGACAATCCTAACTGAGTGCACATTGTTCACGAGATACTTGTGCTTTGTTCTCTCTCTGTTTTGTAATAATGCAAGCGCATGTCTGTATGTGTGTGTGTGTGTGTGTGTGTGTTTGTGTGTGTGTGTGTTTGAGTGTGTGTATGTGTGTGTGTGTGTGTGTGTGTGTGTGTGTGTGTGTGTTTGGGTGTTTGTTTGAGGGGGGTTTTCCGTGTCTATGTAAGCTGTTTCAGTGTTTTTGTTATATTTGTGTGTTTCTGTTTGTACGTGTGTAGTTTTGCCGACAAAATGAGTTACTTCTCGGATTTTAGTCCCATGAAAAGAGCAGATGCGTCAAAATTGTAAGTGGAATCTGTACAGAATATGGAATAATAAAAGAAAAAATTCTACAATTAATTTGACCCCAGTGTCGATTTTCGACCGATATCTACATTCGAGGATTACGGGAAATAACTCATGCCTATACACTGCGCCCCTCCCTCCCCCCTCCCCATCCAACACACACGCACATACACAAATGCACACTCTCTTTCAGTGTGTACAGTGACGCCAATCGCTCAAGTATATATTCCAGTAATAAATGTTTTTAGAAATAATGATAGATTTCGGTCAAATAATATTGCGCTATAAGTCTAAGATAGGGTGCTATTACAGTGACTTGAAGAAAACAGAATACTTTCACTTTACACATTCAAGATTTCTTCAGCTTACAGAATCTAGTACACTCCCTTTGTTTTGTTACTTTTTTGTTTTGTCTTTGTAAAGTGTTTTACGGCGCTCGCAAATGCATGGGGTCATATTATGAGCGCGCGGGACACACCTAATATTTTCAGTTGATAGGAAATTTTGAATTTTGCCCTGGTAGAGTCCGAAGCCTACTCTTATCGATTTTAGACCACCAAGGGATCTTTAACGTGCGCAACTTGCACAGGGGCCCTCCGAGATTTTTCGCCCTTGTCCGAGAAGGCTAGGTGTAGATCTTTCATACCAGAAGATCAGGGGTGTAGCAGAAAGACAGCAGTAAGGAGGAGCCAAGGAGTAGCAGTAGAAAGGCTGCAGAAAGAGTCAGGAGCCCAGAGGAGGGGGCTAAGGGGGTGAGGGGGTGGGGGCAGAAAGTGGAAATGAAAGCAGACGACAGGACATTGTTAGAGAGCAGGAAAGGAGGTGAAAGGAGACAATTTTAGAGAAAAATTTTTTTCGGTCGCTACCCAGATTCGAACCTGGGACCTTTGAAAGAGAGGCCAACACCTTAACCTCTAGGCCACTAGAGCCTCTTTGTTACTTTTAAGACTTTCGATCTGAAATTTGCACAATGCTTTTTTCCTGGATCATGAGTTACAAGTACGGTCAATATCACGTAAAGAGATTCCGTAAACAGATGTTCACTGGGTGCGGAGATAAAGGACATAACGATCAAAACAGATCATGTGTTCCCTCCACTGAGATTGTATTTAAATCATGTTTAAAGTGGATGCAGTGTGCGCATTTCTCATGATAACTTTAGACGAAAAGTAAAGTTTTTTTTCTAAATATCCATATTCTAATACGCGTGTTTTCGTGTATATATGTACTTATGTACGGTACACATTTCGAATAAGCGCATAACTTAGACAAACGGACGCAACTTCCCTGCTTTCCTGTGAGTTTCATGTGGCTTTCGCGTGATATTGTGTTATACTCGTATTAGCCTGGCATTTGTGGGATTGTCTCGACAGATTCCTGCAATATTCCTGTGATCTGCTAACTTTTGAGAGCACAACAAGCAGCAATTAATCAGCTATTAACAACCTGTGTCATCTTCAAATTGATTTTAAAGGGGGGAAATACTTTGGGAATTTCCCTGTCTTTATCCTCCTCAAAACCAACAAATAAGCCCACAAAAAGTAGGGATCAGAGAATAGCATTTTATGGGGGATTGTGGAATCTGAAATGTTCAAATAATAAACAAAACGAATAGATCTAATAGGGAAAAGATCGCTGTCAAAAGGACTTCCATTTTTCACGTCAATTCAGATTTAATGTCTAATTGTTGGAGACAGTTACCAGGTTAGCTATGACATTGATAAGACAAAGAGGACAAAGAAGGGGTTTGGGGGGGGGGGGGGTATCTGCATGTTGTGATAATCTGTAGCGTTTCTACAGGTAACATACGGATGATATGATAAGTTATGTAGAGTCCAAACACGTCTCTAATAAATGTTATATTATTTCATTCAATAAGTCGTGACTTTGCTTCTTATGGTATCTCTCTGCTCACCTAAGGAGAAATACTAACATTAACGAGTGTGGAATAAATTTCTATTCCAAACTATTGGATAGAAATGGCTGTCGTCAACGTGTTATGTTTTCGTAAAAACCTCCAAGGATTCCTACCAAAACGACTTCTGGTTCTTATAACCTTAAGTACTGTTACTGTGATAATTTACGGTCACACACTTTTACTTCGACATTTAAAAGAATCACCAACAAATGTGCATATTTCCCAATCAAATCACACCTGGATTTTGTCAAAGATGGAGGCAAAAATGAAATCAAGTTTGAAAGAAAGTTTTAGAGTTGACTCCCTGAAGTTGATGCATTCAAAAAAGCTTCCGAAAATCACAGATCTGGATAATATACATTTCGCAGATAGCAATCGTAACAACACAGAAAAAGACGACGACACAGATCGCCAAGACAAAGAAAGCGTTGTTGCAAATAATAGTATCAATTTTAAAGACAAAAAAGACAACCTTAGAGCTAAAGACCGAAAAATACAAGATAACTATCGAAATGATTCCAAAGAGAGTCAGAATGTTGATGGTAACGGTCAACTTGTCCTGGACAACGAACATGGCCTAGGGGGAAACGATCACAACATCACTGACACGGAGACGAAGGTCAAAAGTCACTCCAATGCAACCCTGTGGAAAATAGCTCCCCTTTACGCAGCAACCATTTTCCCAGGCCGTCTCGGCAACCTGATGTTCCAATATGCTTCTCTTTTGGGCATTGCGCACGACAACAACCGGCTGCCAATTGTTCCTAAAAACGTTCACGGTCTTACTGGATACTTCAGGTTGACTGAGACTCCGCGAGTAAACACAAAAAAGTAAGTACATAAGTCGAAACATTGTTGATCCCTTGTAGATGAAAAAATATGTTGTTCCTTTTGAGTCAGAACGTAACGTTGTCCCCAAAGGAAAAATATAACGCTTGGGCTTAAGCTTTACAAATAGTTGATATCTTGTTGGTGTCGCTTTCTGTTTTCTTCGGCTTTGGATGTGGTACTGTAAGTTCTTAAATTATATTACAATATTATATCGAACGAAAATATAAAGATTTTAAAAGCTGGATGTCCCCAGTGACACAATTTCGATCGTCTATAAGGCAATATGTTTCTCAGGTGATTCAGCATCCATAAAGAAAGACGAAGAAACTGAACATATACGTTTGGTATCTCTCCCGTTTAGGAATTGAACTCACATTCTTTTAAGGCAGATGAAAAGTCGTAACAATGCCCCATAGTTGTACTTTAAGGATGGTGTAATATATAATTATATATTTATACATAATTATATACATATATCATCCACATTATATATCATGTATGTTTTTTGGGGGGGAGGGAGGGGAGTGTTACGAACTTAATAGACCCTTATTTTGTTGAGTCCTTTGATGGCCGTTAAAAATGTTTTGCAGAGTGTGCAATAACAAAACAATAAAGCCTTTAAAGATAAAAGTCTCAGTATATCTTCTGATGTACAGTTTTTTTTAGAAGAAGACGTTTCATCTTTATAGTTAATATGATCAAAAGCAAGTGGTTGGAGGGTGCTAGTATGGCTTGCTCCTTCTCTCCTATAAACAACCCATTGTCCTGATCTCACCTTCCCTTTTTTTTTCTTTGTCACTCTCTCGTAACACCCCTAATTTTCCTCATTAGAATGACTTTATTGTGTTGCAAGTGTTGTAAAACTCTTAATACATGTGAAAACTGATCTCATCTCGTTCTCGGCAGGTGGAAATCCGTGTACGCCCGGTATTGGGGTTACAAATCCGAGAGCTTCTACCCATTGCCACAAGAGAACGTAACGCTGTGCTGTGATTTACAAAGCTTCAAATACTTTGACAGCATAGCAGACACCATAAGAAAGGAGTTTACTTTTAACTTAAACACTCAACGAAAGGCGAATGATATCCTGGTCAACGTTGGCGTGCACCCAAACAGATCTTCTATACTCGTTGGTATTCATGTCAGAAGAGGAGATTACTTAGACAAGCCTAGAATTGCTGCTGGAAGAGTTACTGCCCCTCCGTCTTACTTCAATGCTGCTATGAGGTGGATGAAAACGAAATTTCCAAACGATCAGATTATCTATGTGGTTGCCAGTGACGATCTGAAATGGTGTGCAGAGAATTTCAAAAACTACACCGACGTCAAGGTTTTGCCTGACGCCTCAGAAGGTGTCCACATGGCCATTATGGCGTCCTGTGATCACGTGATCATGTCGACAGGCACGTACAGCTGGTGGGCAGCCTGGCTCTCAGGCGGGATTGGCATCTACTACAAGAAGTTCCCGGTTCCTGGCTCGCAACTTGACAAGGGTTTAAACAGGTCTGACCACTACCCGGAACAATGGATACCTCTGTGAGGTGAAAACTTCGCTATTTATTTTTATGAGGCCAGATTGGATTAGATAGATTACGACGGCGCTCAATGGACGTAGGACGTATAATTTTTGTAGCCTTGGTATTTTCTTCTGTTGCTTGCTCCTCCCAGATGCCCTGAATACATATGGGGACTGGTGAAAACCCAAAGTTCAGTGATTTGATTTCTGAGAGACAATTTCTATTCTAACATAATGATTGCACAAAAGTTAGGTTTGTTTAGTGCTAAAAGAACCAATAGATTGTGTAAATTTGATCTTTTCTCGGAAACTGCTCTCTTCTTTCAGTCCCATGTGCACAGATTTCTAAGGGTCAAGGCCAACTGCAATTTTGCTACAACATTGAGGACGGAACTTATTCAGTTTTCATACATAATATTTATTTAAGTCGAATTGTGTTTTTTTTTCATGTTTTTTTATTCTTTGCTTCATTTTTTTGGTACCCCAGTACGTCATATCGTAGGTGAGAGTATACCATCTTTACAAGGAGAATATAACCTCCCTGTTTTTTTTTTTTTTTTTTTTTTTGTTTGTTTTTTTTTTTTATAGGGGGGGGGGGTGTGGTGTTATTTTTATAATTTTCTTTTTCATGTGTGTTTGCACCCGTATCGACACAATTTAGATTATGAAAGAGGCGGGCTTCGTCCTGTCTGTCAGCACCACTTCAGGTTGAAAGGAATGCAACATACTGTAGGATCCTGTATGTTGACTTTTTTGTCACCCTTTAGTACAATCCAGCAGCGATCATTTTAATGAAGTGAGAAAACATAGGTATAAACGTCAATTTAACATCATGGATGGGAAATTTTGTGATCAACAGAACCTAGTGCATAAAACGTAAACATTCCTCATGAACAAACATCATAACAAATACAGGGCCCCTCAAGAATGTGTCTTGTTGCCAGTTTTGTTTACACTGTTCAAAAACGATTGCCAAATCAACAACAACAACATCAAGTTAATTAAATTTGCAGACGATTTGACTATTTGGACCTATTCAGGCTGACCATGACGAAACTGCTAATTGGAATTGTACTCTAAACTTTTCTGATTGGTGTGAAACTCTTAAGCTGCATTTGTATGCGAAAACTTGTTATTGACTTAAGAAAAAAGAAATTGCACCCGCAAGCACTCCAAATTTTAATTTAAAAAATGAAAACGTCGAGCAAGTGTGAGATTATAAGTATTTAGGTAAGTATTTAAGTATTATCACAGACAAAAAACTCAACTGGCTTGTTAATACTTCTCTCCTGCATAAAAAGTGAGGAAAAGAATATCCCTCTAGGGAAACCCATGTTTTTCAAAAGTTGATAAGACGTTGACGTCCATATTTTATCATTCAACCTTAGAAAGTATAATCAAATTTTGTATGACAGCACTGACCTGGAGCACAAGATATTAAGATGGATTAATACGAAAAGCAAACAAAATTCTAACACCTGCACTCCACTACTTCCATGAATGTATACTATACATTATCGTTTGCACTATAAAAATCAATTCCATCTTTTTAGATAACCAACATCCACTGTCCTGTCAAATGAAAAAAACAATCAGAAGTAAAAGACCTATGCTTCTGATCTGTAACAAAGAAACATACAGAAGGTCATTTTTATTATCATCCCTTGAACTCGTACCATTTTAGTCATCTTGTAATATAACTATTCACATATGATATTTTACAGCATGCAACATCAGAAATACTTTGTATTGCAATCAGAATAGTAATTACGTCAGCACTGCCAATATGTATGAACTATTATTGTTCAATTATATTATTAATTGTGTGAGTTTGTGAGTGCAATACTACTGCATTAATATGTTTATGTGCACAGAATGTGTTTGAAGTAGAAGATGTGAGAAAGAGAGAAAGTGTGTGTATGGGTGTGCACACGCGCGTGTGTATACGTGTGTGGGTGTACGTGTGTGTGTGTGTGTGTGTGTGTGTGTGTTTGTGTGTGTGTATACGTATACGTGTAAGTGTACAGTTGTGTGTGTGTGTGCGTGTATGTGTATGTGCCTACGTGTACGTGTGTGTGTGTGTGTGTGTGTGTGTGTGTGTGTGTGTGTGTGTGTGTGTGTGTGTGTGTGAGTCTTGTGTGTGGTTAAAAACCAAACCATTGTACCTGGAATTGGACAATAAAATTTTACCTTATCTTTTCATATCTTATCTTATCTTATCTTAGAAAACCGAGATAACAGTATTCGAGAAACATTCTCCAACACGAGATTTGAACTCAGGTCTTCTTTTTGCGACAGTGAAGCAACTAAGCCCTTAACCATAGTAGAGCAGTGCCCATTTGACATTACAATTCAACATCTACGATTTTCTTTCCCTCTTCACAGCTATTCGAAGCCTTCAAACGCCGTTTGATCAACCCACTATTAATCTAAAGTCTCTGAGGTTTACACAACGGTCTGTTGTGCGTTATAATAGTACACTAGTACTGAATAGCGAATGTTACCGATGGGCGTGATTAATATTGTATAAGATAAAAGTCATTCGCACACCGCTTTTAAACTGTACAAATAGTTCCTTCATGCTTCAAAGTGAGGGCTTTCGTGGTCTAGGGGTACGGTGGTCACTTCTCATTGAATATTTTCGTAAACACATGTTAGCTGCTTTCTAGAACATTTCTTAAGGGGGGCTGGTTTATAAACCTATTTCGGTAACTATGACCTTTCAGATAAAGCCGTATAGCAAGGAGATATAACAGGAAAGGATTTCTAAAATGTAACTTTAAATCTTTCTGTTGAAGTCTGCTGTTACCATGATAATGGTGGCCATATTGAAAATAAACAACTTTCATAAAAGTAAAAAGGATTTTTTAAATTTACCAACCAAATTTGTTCCAATTTGGCACATTGATAGATATACCCAGTACAAAATGTTATGCCGTTGGGCTCTTGAATATCTTGAATAGGAAAGAAAGTTAAAGAAGGATAACTGACCTACCCCTTCATGTCTCTGAATTCGATTACATAATCATCCATGTAACTCACGTATGCATATTATTGATTTGCTTTTCCACCTCTATTAAGTTAGGTTATGATGTGAATAACAAGCCTTGAAAATTTCATTTGAATCAAAAAGAAAATAAAAAAAGTATACGACAAAAAGCTATCAAAAATTGAAGCTTTGAGAAAAATCACATTTTCTTACACAGTACGCAAAATAAAAGTTCAAGGACAGAAAATTTGAAAAAAGTTGATTGTAACACAAAGAGTAAACATTTTTTAAGATTTACAAGTGGTTGAAGTATTATGATACCTAAAAGGCCCAGATATCATTCTTAAATTGACACACAATCGTTATCTTTAAACCCCCCTCCCTTAATAAATACATAAAAACTAATTAAAAATCCCAGTGGGTGGTTTTTACAGATTATAAAAGGTTCACATCTAGGAAAGTTTCGCTTTTCCCCAAGTCTGTAATTTTTTTTTCTAATCGAGACGTTATGCTTATTTAACGCATTTTTAAGAACCTTTAGGGACAAGTTTTGCCACCAAAAATTTAAAAAAGTGTGATTAGTGAGCTGTTACCTAGGCCATATTGCGTATGCAAAATGTTTGAGAGAAGTGGAACGTTCTGTGAACAATCCCATTTTCCGCATGGCGGAGATTTATAGTATTTTATATAAATTTACGAAGAAAATTTTTCTTTAATCTAGCCTAGATTGCTATGGGAAAATATGATTAAGCTAAGACAAATTGACACAAACTACTATGCAAAGAATGGGTAACATTGATTCACCTGTTAAAGGTAATAATATATTGGAGGATAAGTTGCTCCATGAACTTTTGACCGCACTATAGTAGTTATTAAGGAATGTTCTAGAATACATTGCAGCTAACTCGTGTTTCCAAAAATATTGATCTGTTAAGACAAATGGATACAAGTTTTGGTACAAAAGCTGGAGACTATGGTCTGATTGTTGAGAAAAAAATTGACAATAAGTTAGTCCCACAAATTTTAACCGCACTATAATTATGGCTGCCTTATCGCTTACGGTGAAGAGGAACAATAAATGTACCCCTTTTAAGAAACTTTTCTGTGAATACCCAGACATGTAGGATAGACTGTCAAAAGTTTCCTTGTCTACCTCCATCCTGTCTGGTACCTTTTCTAACATCAGCTACTGCCCTGCATGTTGGAACATGCACGTATCCCGCAGAGGTAGACGGTCTGATTCGGCAATACATCTTCAGAACATAAATCTTTGAAATTGTGAAATGATGACATGGTGAGGTACAACGCCCTTATCAACACTACTGTCAGGTTATTTAAGAGGCGGGACCACCGAGTTGAACGACCATCTCCGAAAGGACTGAGCCAAGTGGTGAATATTTATAGTCTTTCCCAAGGACACAACATTGGACTGAGTTGAGGCTCGAACCCCCGAACCCGTAATCTTATGAGTACGAGCCCGGTAGTCTAATCACAAGGTTTCCGACGCCACTATAAATCTTTCAGAGGCTATGCATTTGATTTTGAAACATATTGATGGCATAAGTAATTTTTTAAGAACAAAAAGAAGGTCACAGGAGCATTGTCGACGACTGAGGGTATTCAACAAATATATCAAAGAGAGGTACTAAGAAATGCAGGGAGGCTCTCGTGGCCTTGAGGTTAAGGTGTTGGCCTCTCATTGAAAGGTACCGGGTTCGAATCCGGTAGCGACCGAAAATTTTCTTCTCTAAATTTGTCTCCTTTCACCTCATTTCCGGCTCTCTAGCAATGTTCTGTCGTCTGATTTCGTCTCCTCTTTCTGCCCCCACCCCCTCACCTCCTTTGCCCCTTCCTTTAGGCTCCTGATTCTTTCTGCAGCCTTTCTACTGCGACTCCTTCGCTTCTTCTTACTGCTGTCTTTCAGCCACACCCCTGATCTTCTGGTAGGAAATATCTACACCTAGCCTTCTCGGAAAAGGGCGAAAAATCTCAGAGGGCCCGTGTGCAAGTTGCGCACGTTAAAATCCCTTGGTGGTCTAAAATCGATAAGAGTAGGCTTTGGCCGCCACCCGGGCAAAACTCAAAATTTCATACCAACTGAAAATATTAGGTGTGTCCCGCGCGCTCATTTGATCTTATGCAGTTGCGAGCGCCGTAAAACACTTTACAAAAACAAAAAGAACCAAGAAATGCAGAGATTTTATAGGCTTAAAGTACAAAATGGAAAAGACAAACATGAGTGGATGTGTGATATTAAAGGAAGAGAAGATTATACAAGCTCAGCAATTCAAGCTCTTGGGATAAGCAACCAATTTGATCCAAGATGGTGCGCCTCGATAGTGTAACAGATACAGGATAGAGACATAGTAACGTGGCTTCAGAAAGTGAAGAAATTGCCTCATTACCAGAAACTTAATAGAATAACACTACTCACGAATCTAAAAAAAACAACCGCGACAGTATAGTCCAACAGCTCATGTTTAACCTCTATGCTGATTTACCACGTAGGTGGAGAAAGGACGAGTACAGCATACACTGGGAGCAACAATTTGA